GGAAGTTATTAAATTGGCATGGCTGGAGCACGTCAACAACCACGGTGCTCACGTCGCATCGCATCCCGCAGGAGCCGGACCTGGGGAGGAAGGGAGGGACGGGACACTCCGGGATGGCCGAGCCCGGGCTGGAGGTGGGAATGTGCCTGCCGTGAGCCAGGGGTGTCCTTGTCATCCCGGCTGAATCCCAGCGGGAACGACAGCTGATCCTAATGGGATCCCTAATGGGATCCCCTGACCCCTGGCAGCACGGCAGAGCAGGGAGGGAGGTGGCAGGGAGGTGGCAGGGAAGTGGCAGGGAAGGAGGGAATGCTCAGTTCCAGCAGCAGCAGAGCCCGGTGGAGGCTGCCAGCCCAGGCTCTGCTCCTCTTGCATTGCACAGGGGAGGTTTGGGGCAGAGGGGGCTGGGGGAAGAAGGAAAAGCTGCTGTGAGGAGAATCACCTCCTGCCCCAGCTGCTGTCAGCCTTGGAGTCACCCCTGAGTGTTTCCCTCCCTGACCCTTTGCATCCCTCAAGGAAAGGACGGGGAGACCAGGAAGGGGTGGAGGGAGCACATTCACCCCACACGAGGCCTGGGGGCTCCAGGTGATGCCCTCAGTGACCCCATCAGTGCCCAGCTCATGGGCAGAGGTGACTCCTGCAAATCCCCAGCTCCAGCTGCTGGCAGGGCCCTTGCAGGGAGCAGCAGCACTTCTCCAGAGGGCCATGAGCAGAGGAATCCTCCCTGGACTCAAAATTGCCCAGAGAGGGGCTGGTGAGAGTCCCTGCCCTACCTGGGCATCAGCTCAGCCCATCCTTGCAGCCAGCTCAGCTCTGCCCCATGCTGGCTTTGTGTGTCCCTGCTGCCCTGACCCAAAAAAGGGGACACAAAACCCTTTGGGGGTCCTTAACTCCCACCCCTCCTCCTTCTCCTTGTCCCTCTCCATCCACAGCAGGAGCCCCTGGGGCAGCACGAGGCAGGGTTGGGATCAGCAGCCAGCACCCCCAGGCACCCAAAAAGCAGCAGCAACAACCCGAAATCAAAGGCAGCACAGACAATGGCAGAGCTGCGGGCTCAGGCCTGGCAGAGCATTAAGAAGCAGCATTACCGGGACCGGGAGAGCCGGTGGGGACATTACCGGGGCTGGGCGAGCCGGTGGGGACATTACCGGGGCTGGGCAGAGCCGGTGGGGACATTACCGGGGCTGGGGAGAGCCGGTGGGGACATTACCGGGACCGGGAGAGCCGGTGGGGACATTACCGGGGCTGGGGAGAGCCGGTGGGGACATTACTGAGCACAAGAACACTTTCACATGTATTATTTTACAGACTCCTGTGACTCTCAGAGCACGGCTGCAGCAGCTTTGCTATTCTCTGGGTTTTGCCTGAGCTGTAATTCCATTTTTCTCACAAAAATACCTGTTTGGCTCTAAGAACCTCCTGCACTTTGCTGCTCAGCTCTTGGGGGCTTTTCCTGCCCCACGTCAGCCCTGGCTGCAGCATCCCAAAGGAGCATCCAGGATGGGTCCAACCATCCCCCTTGTCCCCTCCTCACTGAAAGGTTGCCTTTATTTCCTTCCTTTTCCTATTTCCCTCCAGTTTCCCTGTCTGGAGTTGAATGACACTGTGCTAATTTGTGGCCCAGCTCCTCCTGAGACGGTGGAGCTTTAATTATATTTTTCTCCTGGTTGGTGCAAGGCTGGGCTATAATTATGCCAGGGAGAGCATTACTTAGGAGTGACCTGGGAGCAGCATTCCCTCTGGGAGCTGGGGCACTGGCTGCTCCCAGGAATTCTGATTTAAGGTGCTGGGCAGCAGATCCCCCATGCTGGAGAGGAGTGAAGTGTCTGCCACGTGCCACCCATCCCTGGGACTCATCCAGGGATGGTCCCTCCTGCCATAGCCAGCCCAGCCACTAGTTCCAAACCCCTGAACTGTGGAAGCAGGACAGATGTAGGGTCTGTCTGAGCTGCCATCACCCATCCTGGAGAGCAGGAGTCAGCCCTGATCTCCCCTGACATTCCCTGTGCACCCATCTCCCCCCAGCAGATGGCTGTGCCAAAAACCAGGGGCTGGGATGAGCTCCCTGGCCCACCTTTGTTGCCTGCATATTTTATTTTACTGGATGATGACACACCAGAGCCTACAGATAATTTGCCTGAGGTGTCAATTAGCACTAATGAGATGGGGCTCAGGGTGTCCAGTGCGTCCTTCGTCCTTCCAGGGTGGCAGCAGAAAGAGTGCAGGCTCTTGACTGATTTGAGAGGGAATGAAAATCTCCCAGAGCACGCAGAGAACACCCTGAACATTCTTTCTACACAGGCTGGGGAAGAGTTCCCTCCTTGTCTCCCTCTGAAAACTGGCTATGGAATCATGGAAAGATTTGGGTGGGAAGGGACCTTAAAGTTCATCCAGTCCCACCCCTGCCATGGGCAGGGACTCCTTCCCTACCCCAGGCTGCTCCAAACTTTCTCCTGGCCTTGAACCCTCCCAGGGATGGGCCAGCTGCTATCAACAGGAGCTCCTCACCCTCATTCACATCCCTTCCTCCCCGCTCACTTCACTGAACAATTCCAGAGAATCAGAGGGAATTGTGTGTTCTCCCATTAAATTACAGCAAAGAACATTTAGGAGAATCTCCTCTCGACCCTAAAAGAAATCCCTTAAAGGTGCAGATATCACTGTGCTCTACTCAGACTCCAACAACTTTGGGAAAGCAATTTCCTTGTCTCCAGCACACTGTGTTTTTAGCCTACTTTCCTCAGGAAATGGGGCTCACTCCTGTGATTGTGCTGTTTATATATCTATATGCCATCACTCCCACACTAATAACTTTTGAACGTGTTGGCCAATTCCAACCAAATCTGACAGAGCGGCAGAGTTTTCAAAAATACTGAATTCTTACAAATTTAATGAAAGCCGTGGGTGGGCACATATTTTTTTTTTTTCCCCCACCAAGGGAAAGGCTGCAGAGTGAACTCAGACAGAAAAGAATACACACACACAGCCACAGCCACGCCAGGTGCTGGGAAATTGGAGTTTATGTTGGCATTAGAGGGGGATATTCCAACCCTGAGCCCCAAAACCTCGGGAATGAGCACCAGGATTCTCCCCCAGCTCTGCTTTGTGGCATTTGGACGATGCAGTTTGGTGTGGGCACTGCAGGGGAGGGTTCCTTCATTAGGAAGCTTTAAAATGAAATCGGACTAAGATTAATAAGAAAGCTTTTCCAGCTGGATCTCAGTATGTAAAACCTTGCTGTGCTCTGGTTCTGCAGGCTCAGGGACTCTGCCAAAAGCCTCGCGAGGGGGGAGAGCTCGAGCTGAGGGATTGGAGGTTTCAGACAAAGCGGTTTAAGGTAAAAGAGCAGAGATTTACATGGGATATTGGAAAGGAATCCTTCCCTGGACCCACCTAATCCCATCCATCTCCACTCTCCACCTCCACCCTCCACTCCCCAGCCTCCCTGGACTCCTCCAGCAGAGCCCTGGGCCACCCAGTCAGTGCAGGGCAGGGAGCTGTTCACAACTGGCATTCCTGACTCGATTTTTTCCCCCTTCTCTCCCATAATTAGAGGTGGAATATTACATGTCAAGAGCTCACTAAGCATCTCTTCCAATCCCACTCTCATGGCATTCCAGGATCATCACCACTGGGGGATTGAGGATGCTCAGGTTCTCAGACCCAGCATCCCACAGCACACTGGAGCTCCACATTTCCAGGATCCATCCCACAGCACCCTGGAGCTCCACATTTCCAGGATCCATCCCACAGCACCCTGGAGCTCCATATTTCCAGGATTGCAGCCTTTTGAGGCATTCCCATCCATCCCCAGACCACAGGGAAAGATCTGGCCTTCCCACTCCTCTGCAGTCTGCTTCCTACCTGATGTTCTAGAGGGACTTTTCATTTTTTTTCCAACCATCAGCTCAAAAACATCATCAAGCCCAAATGTGCTCCCAAAGCAGGCCCGGGAGGCTCATTCATATTGCAGATAAGCCCTTGGCAGACTTGCTGATAAAGATTTCAAGTGTGACTCTGCATACAAATATTCCAGACCCAACAATTAATCCAGCACAGGAGGCTGAGGATACCTGGGTTTTTCCCCTAACCCCAGCCCTTTTTCCCAGCCTGGTTGCTAAATATAGCCCTTGCTCAGAAAACAGAAAGGAATGACATGCTCTAATAAACCACCCCAAAATGTGAATTCTCCAGAGGAGCTTTTCCTCCTCATCTCACTGCTGCTCTGGGAGCTTCCTGCAAGGCACAGAGCTCCAGGTGCCTTTGGGAGTCAGCTACAGGGTGCTTGAGCTGGTCCTGCTTTGAGCTGGGACCTTATTTCAATTTAAATTAGACATGGCTCGTTTCCCCCTCCCCTCCTGCTGGTTTTCAGCAGATCCCAGCTCTGCATCTCTGAGCAGTTCCATGAGGGCTGCCCAGGGCATTGTAGGGCACCCAGATCTGCTGTTTTCCAGCAGAGCCTCCCCAGGGCTGAAGCCACATATTTGACTGGTTTTCCACTCAAAAAAACCCTTTTGGGAATGGAAATGGCTGGGAATCCTCCCAGCTCAGGCCAGCCTTTGGCTGTGAGTCAGGCAGAGGATTTGGGCAAACTCAGGAGCTCTTCTGCTCATCCAAGAGGAGAGGGAAAAATGGGATAAACAACCCAGCATCCCCTAAGTGACAGCGCTCAGCCTGTGACAGCCACCAAGGTGCCACCACCCCCTGCACAGGCTGCCCTGCTCTGGTGACCCTGCGTGGCCTCCCTGCCTCATTTGGGGAGGTTGTGCATCCCCAGCCCACCGGGAATTACCAGAGGGACAACTGGGCTTGGATCCACCCTGTTTTGAACAGCACTGCAAGGCTTGGGCAAGTGAGGTCCACGTAACACCAACCTGCAGATGCTCACCATGGGCTGCTTTCCTCCAGCAGCACCCCTCCTAACTCTCACCCCATTTATCCCAAGCCCCCAGGGCGGGATCCCAGCTCAGACACACCAGGATGGGCAGGAACCCCCTTACCTGGACGCCGCGATCTCCGCTTTCTGCTTGGCGATGGTGGCCGCCCTCTCGGCCGCCTCCACGGCCCGATCCACCTTCTCCCGGATCTTGCTGGCGCGCAGCGGGATGAGGTTCTTCCTCTTGCCGCTGACCAGGATGTTCTGCTTGTACTTGCCCTCCTCCTTGGTGCCGTCGGGGAAGGTCATGCAGCCGTAGCCGTGGCGCTTGTTGTTGGCCCACTCGCCCTCGTACTTGAGCCCGTCCGAGCGCTGGCTGACGCCCGAGCCCGAGCGCTTGTCGTTCTTCCACTCGCCCACGTAGATCTCGGTGGTGGTGGCGTCGATGTCGTCTTCGATGACCGAGAGCTCGGCCTCGCCCTCGCCCAGGCTGATGGTGGAGTTGATGTCGCTGGCGGTGGAGCTGACCGTGCTCATGCCGGCCTCGCTCCGGAACGAGCTCTGCTTGCTCCGCTGGCTGGCCAAGGAGCTCTTGGACTCGGACTTGCGGAGCTTGAGCCCGCTCAGCAGCGAGCGCCGGAAGATTCCCTTCTTCTTGCTCTTGAGGATCTCGGCGTCGCTGTGGGCCATGAGGACGAAGCCGCCGCGGGACACGGCGGGGCTGCCGGCCACGGCGGGCGAGGCGTCGGGGTGCAGCGCCGTGCCGTTGGTGTGCTCGCTGCGCAGGGAGTTGATGGATGTCCTCAGGGGTGACCTGATGACCGCAGCCATGCCGTAGGGAACGCTCTGCCGGACGCCGTAACCCTGGCGCATCCCCCCGACCCACTGGCCCTGGTATGTCCCTGCGGAGGGGAGACAAAAGCAAACGGAGAGGGGCGGTCATGGCATCAAACTCCTCCGGGAGCAGCTCTGGGATCCCAGTCCCAGCTCCAGGATGGGGATTGCAATGTCAGGTTGTGGAGGGAAAAATTGATTGGATTCACAGAATTCACAGAGTCACCAGGTTGGAAGAGACCTTAAAGATTATCGAGTCCAACTAAATCCTGGCAGCCAGTGCCACATCCAGGCTTTGTTAAACACACCCAGGGATGGTGACTCCACCACCTCCCCGGGCAGCCATTCCAGATTGCAGGCTTGCATGGGGGTGTTAGAAACCAGGCAAGGCATCAAGGAACTGCCCCTTGGATCAATCCCTAACGTGAAAGGGAGGGAGCAGGGGTGTGGAATGGGGGAATGGTTATCCAGGAGCACACTCTGATCCTGTCCATGCTGCTGGCATCTCACAGTGGATGGATAATGCATAACAATACATTTATTTATACACACAGAGCCTTCATCCGGGGTGCTGGGGAAGGAAGCAGCTCCATAGAAATAAAGGCCTCACGGGGAGAGATCCATTTGGATATTCCCCTTGGAATTGTGCCCCTGTTGGAGCTCCTACATTTGTGTGGGCACTTCCTGGAGTTTCTTAACTGGTTGTTGGTGGCACGAAACACACACAGGCCTCCAGCACAGCACTGGAACAGGGGGACAAGGAGCCCACCCAGCCCGGGGGGCACAGCTGGACCTCAGCACCCTCCCTGTGCACTGAAATGTGGGGTGGGTGGTAATCTGCTCAGGGTTCCTAATCCCATCCCCTCCTGGAGCTCAGAGGTTGGCACAATTCCAGGCTTTATCCCAGCCCATTGAAGTGAAGGGCTTGTTTTTATTCTTAGGTCGGTTTAATCTTCTCCAGACCAGCTCGAGATGCAGTGATCCACTGTGAGCCCTGCTGGGGCAGGCTGAGGAGCCCGAGGATGGCTCTGAGCCGGGCCCTGGAGTTGCTGGAATGCTGGGAGCAGTCCCAGCCCCAGGATGTGAGGAGCTGGGATGGGCACAGGCAGCACCTCACAGCAGTGGGACCTCCCTTTGTGCCAGCCCTCCACATGCCCAGGGAACCTCAAAATAGACCTGCTGAAATAGTGAACCCTGCCTGAATCAGGCCAGTCCTACCCCAGCACTCCCTGAGGAATTCCCCTGCCCAGTTCTGGGGCTCGGCAGTGGAGAAGGGATCTGGGCTGGAGCAGCTCATGCTGAGCACAGGAACTGCTTCCTGAGAGCGTGAAACCAGCACCTGGCCACATTTTGGGGTGTACTTTGGGGTTCTTCAACTGTCTTTTAGCTGCCAGTGCTTTGAACAAATCCCCCAGGATTTGGGCATCCTTCCCTGTGCTCCAATGGCATTACATTATTGGGGTGACAGCTTTGTGCACCCCAAAAAACCAGCAGACCCAAGGTGGGGACCCCACAGAGCCTGCCCTGGGGAAGGGACGTGGAGAGGCAGGGGCAGGCAGGATTTACTGAGGGTTTATAGGATTAGCACTGGGATTAGGGCAGGCACTGGCAGGGCAGGGAGAAGGGAGAAGGATGGGGGACAACCTGTGAGATGCAGCTCAGGGGACACAGCAGACATGTCCTGTGTGGGGGTTTGAGCCTGCCTTGTCCCCTGTGGTGTCCCCAAGAATGGGGAACAATCAGTGCCATGCACCCACAGCTCTCCCACGCCTGGGATGGTGGCTGTGGCAGGGGAGAGCCTGCCAAGGTGTCCCTGCATTCCCTGGGCAACTGGCAGCACCTCTCTTCCCTTTCTGGCTCCATCCCAGAGTGTCTCACCAGGACAATGGAGCAACTTGGGGAAAGATTCCCCCCCAAAGCCCCAAGTGCCCCTGCCAAGGAGCCCTCAGGGTGGCTTGGGATGTCCTCACACCGTGCTCCTGCCTCCCTGGAGATGGATACAGTGGGTTTCAGGGAAAGATGTCAGTGTGAGCAGGGGCACAGAGAGAACAGTTCCTACATGAGATCCACCAGATCCCACCCTGCCCAAATCCTGATCTCCCTTTCCCTTGGTGAATCCCTTCATTCGATCTCTGACCCACAGGTCCCTCGGCCTCCTCATCTCCCGGCAAAAGTGCAGCTGAAAAACCTCCCTGGATTCAGCTGGAGCAGCGTGAAGGATCACAGCCCTGTGCTGAAACCAGAGGGACCGGCAGGGAGCAGAACAAAGCGCTGAGGGCTGGAGCACCGGCGGCAAATCGGTCACAGCAGGTCACAGCTGCAGCCCGTGCCTGTCCCCAGGCAGGCTCAGGTGCCCGGGATGCTGCCATCCCATCCCTGCTCCTGGAATGGCACAGCTGCCAGGAGTGGCATTTCCTTGGCAAGGTGGATTTTCCAGCCACTCCATCCTGCTTGTCCTCCCCCAGCACCGTGCAGCACCTCCCCACCCCCAGCTCTGCTTTCGTGGGTGTCGTTTCTTCCCTGCAGGAGGCAGCAGCATGGATTATCCCTAGGGATTGCCCCAGAGGCCACCAAGGCATCTGGGCAGCTTCATGGCCACCAGCAGATCAAAGAGCTTCCTGTCAGGGAGCTGAGCCCTTCCTCAGCCAGCAGCTCTCCTTCCTTCCCTGACTTCATGATGTTTTAAAGCCTGGATCTCCAGGATTTGGCAGGAGCCATCTGATCTGCATTGCTAAGCCACCTCCTCCCCGAGCCCTGCTCAGCTTAACCTCTGCCCCAACATTTGCAGATATGTGCACAAAGCTTGGTCTCACAAGGAGCCCAGAGAGCCCTTGTCCCTGCAGAGCAAACAGGATTTCACAACATTCCCCCTCACATGCCAGGATGGACCGGCTGCAGCTGCTCCAAGCTCTGGACACGGAAAGGGAAGGTGCAGCAGGAATCTGGCACGGTGGGGACAGCAGGGTGGGGCTGGGAGGGGTGGAACGAGCATTTCTGATGGAGCAGAACCATCTGCTGAGGTGCTGAAGGGAGAATTCCAAGGATTTTGGTTCTGAGCACCTCACAGGGTCGGGATGCAGGAGGGGAAGGTGCTTCCCTCAGGATGGGAGGCAGAGAGCAATCCAGGGCAATCCTGGCCACAAACCCATTGTACTGCCCAAGCCAGAGAAGAGCCAAAGCCTCTGTGATGGAGGAGAATCCCTGGGGAGGAAAAGTCCCAGCCTCTTCCCTCAGCCATGCAGGGCACTCCTGTGGATGCCTCCAAGATGCCACAAATATCCATCCCACCTCTGTGTGGTTCTTTTGCATGGGGCAAAAAGGACAAAGAGAGAGAAGAAAGCCCTGGACATGGAAAGTCAAGATAAAGGTGAGGAAAGCCACGTCCATGCCAAGCAGAGCTAAGGAGAGGGCACAGCCTGAGGCTAGGAGAAAACAACTGGAGTCATCCCAAAAGATGGACTGGAGAGAAAAACCCTAATTCAGAAATAACAAAGTGCAAGAAAGGGAACAGGCTCATGGGAAAGACAGGGATCAGTGGAAACACGGAGAGAAGACAAAGGGCAGTGCTGTTGGACACATTCACCGGTGTTCCTAATGCTGAATTTGGGGTTTTTTTTGGCTCATTCCCCTTGGAGCAGGGCTGGCTTGTTTCCAGAGCTCCTGCAGGAATTGCCATGGCCTTGAGGAGTGTGCAGAGCCCCATCCTTGGCCAGAGGCAGCGGGGCTGAGAGCAGACAGCAGGAAGTCCCTGGCTTGGGCAGCATCATTCCTGGTTCTCCAGCAGTCAGGGAGCAGCACTGCCTCAGCATTTGGCTAAAACCCACCCTGGGAAGAGAGCTGAGAGCCTGCAGGGCAGCTCCTGGTGGCCCCATAACGCCAAAATCCCCAAAATCAGGGCTGGGCTGGGTTTGCAACTTGCAGCAAACCAGGAGAGGGGAGGTGAGCAGGACCCTGCAGCTCCATATTCCCTGCTGGGAACAGGGATAAGGCAGCAGCATTCCAGCAGTTCAGCTGGGCTGGGGACTCTGATGCAGCTCCTGCTTGCAAAGCTCTCCGTGGGGATCAGAGGCATTGCAGGAGCAGTGACTCCGTGTGTTTCCCTTCCTCTGCCACAGAGATTTTGGGGAATTTGCTGGGGAGGGGAGGAGCTCTGGCTCATCCCTCTGGGATACAGCACTGTGGGGTGCCAGGACTGCTCCCTCATGCTGACAAGGTCTTTCTTCTCCATGGTTGGGAAGGGACAACCAAGCCATGGCTTGCTGTCCCAAACGGAGGAATTTCCTGGACCTGGAATTTCCCGGACCTGGAATCCTTTCCTGCTTATGGAGAGATGGTGAAACCTCACAGTGATGCCCAGCCACTGGATAAAGGGGCTGTGCAGCATCTATTCCAGTGAAATCCAGCTTTATAACAAATAAACATCCCAAGGAGCTCCCCCAGGAATAGCTGGAGTTTGAACAACACAGGAGGAAGCCCAAAGGGAGGATGTTGGGCTGCTCAGGTATGTGGGGCTTCCTCTGGCTTAAGGCAAGATCATGCACTTGGATATAAACCTAGTCCATGATGTTGGAAGGAGATAAAAATAAGGATTTTTTGGGTTGGAATGACTGCGTTTTCTCTCCCCGCTCTGCCCATATCCAAGATTTGGCATTTTGTAGTCACTGAGCCCTCTGGCCCCACTCCAGGAACACCATTAAGGAGAAGCTTTATGGCTGCTCCCAGGCTTTTCCCAAACCCACAGGGCTGGTTCTGTGTCCTGCAGGATGAACCCTTTGGCAAACACATGGATAAAGCCCACGGGAGGTTTGCACAGACCTGCCCTCTTCCCCTTCCTCACATGGAGACATCCAGGTAGGAATTTGGGATGTTGTGAAGCACTTTGAGGGCAGCAGACACACTCGTGTCATTATCACAACCTGACCTCAGAAAAAGACAAACGTTTGGAAAAAATTCCTTTTCCATCCCTAACACTGAGTTAAAACCCAAGCACGCTGGGTCAATATTCCCAGGTCAGATAAAATCATCAGCAACAGGGACACAGCTTCCCAGCTTTGCCTGGAAAAGGGGA